TGCATCCATCCATCCATCCATCCATCCATCCATCCATCCATCCATCCATCCATCCATCCATCCATCCATCCATCCATCCATCCATCCATCCATCCATCCATCCATCCATCCATCCATCCATCCATCCATCCATCCATCCATCCATCCATCCATCCATCCATCCATCCATCCATCCATCCATCCATCCATCCATCCATCCATCCATCCATCCATCCATCGATCTATCCATCCATCCATTCATCCATCCATCCATCCATCCATCTATCGATCTATCCATCCATCCATCCATCCATCCATCCATCCATCCATCCATCCATCCACCCATCCATCTATCCATCCATCCATCCATCCATCCATCCATCCATCCATTCATTCAATCACCCACCCATCCACCCATCTTTTATTCACTCATTCCGAACATTCTTCCATGTACGTACATAAAAATATTTATTCATAAGATGCATTTTAAAATGGCTAACAGCAAGCAATGTTCAGGCAGAATTGTCTTCTTTGCCATCAATTGAAACAGCGCTGCTAGCAATGTTAAAATGCAACTCTTGATTAAATACGAGTTGCAAAAATTTAGTTTTGTGTTTTGTGTTGTGTCTATCGTTAAAAGACTACTTAACTGCAAATGGGCAGCAATTTTCAGTAACGTGTTAGCGTTGATTACTCCTATAGATACACACACACACACACACACACACTCACTCTCACACACACAGTATATATATACATCACGTTTTTTCTATACAAGTCTACAATATTACAATATCGGCAACCAACTATATATTCTTCACCCCATCAACACACAAAAAGCTTAGCAACAGATAAAACCGAATGTCAGTTTTACAAAAAGTTGTAAGTATGAAAGTATGCCTAATTTAAACTGAGCCACACCACACTATACAACAACAAACCACAACACTATCACACCACACCACAACACTATCACACCATACCACAATACCAACACACCACAATACTACCACACCACACCACACAACACTACACAACACCACAACAAACCACAACACTACCACACCACACCACAATGGTACCACACGACGCATGGCCAACATATTAAGACAAATTAATGACCGACATGCTTCTTCGCTGGACAACACGGGAAAAACATTTTTCCATCCATTTGTTATCATCATGCTGAATATAAAAAATTCCCCAGTTGAAATAACTTTTTGTAGTTTTTTACTCACTACTGTTGCTAAATTGTTGAGTATATTGTGTGGAAAGTGTCACAAATTGTTTCAAATTGTTTTCATTTTTATGATTTTATTGACGAATATTAACTTGTTAGCATGCTGAATTATCTTATCTAAAGTCTGCCGTTATTGGCTAATTTTTTTCTCAATAAATGGTGCAACTGTAAAATATTTTTTACGAGTTGCTGAACTTCTTAATCTGTTTCTTTTTATTAGTAAATTTAAAAAATGTCTTCAAATATATATATATATATATATTTTTTTTTTGCTTGTCAAATTCAAACATACTATTTTGTACTATTAATTTTGAAGATGTGCACGTTTGAAGCAATGGTTACGTATAAATTATTGACGTTAAATATGAATAACATTAAGGTAATAGTGGGAAAAAATCCAAAATAACCATGTGAGAAAAATTCCAAATCACAATTTTTACGACCCTAAATTTTTTTTCAAGTGTCAGCCTCCCCCCATCAGCAGCCGACATAATCGGATCAAAGACCAGGAAAAAATTTTAAAAAAAGTACTGAAAAAAGTTGTCAAAAAAATTGGATGAAAATAAGAAAAAAAATAAATGAATGAAAATGTGAATAAAGAGTTGAGGTAGACAAATATGAATGAGAAATAAGAATGGAGATAAAGGTGTGATTGATGTTTGCTAGGACTGACTGACTTGGTACGTAGAAAATGAGCTTCATATTTCTTTCTGCACACACGCCTCCTTCCTTGTTCAACAAACCTTCAGATCGGCCTGTGGACGTGCCTGGATGTGAGGTTGGTTGTTTGTTTAGTTGTCTGTCTGTTTGTTTTGTTGTCTGTTTGTTTGTTTGCATGGTTTGATTTGATCTCTACTGGTTGACGTTGTTGAAATTGTTGATTGCGTTCGTGTCGGTTATGTTCATTCATTATGTCGATTGATCATCATTAATGTTTGTTATTTGAATGAAATGTCTCCCGTATAATTGAAATTGTTGTGTTGTTGGTGGTGGAGTTTTAAACGAATTTTGTTTGCATGCCATCAACACTCATAAAACACCAAAATAACTTGAAACTTGCTTTTTGTAAATATTCATACAATGTTTATCTTTCACCGTTCAAAATTTATATATTAACACGCACTAAAAGGGCAGTTTTACGTAAAATAATAAAATGACCAAAAATATTTATTGGAATAATTTATGAAAATTAATTGGGACTAACTGGTCATGTAGTAACGCGTGTCCTCCTTGAATGTCATCTGACCGGGAACAGAGGGGTTGGGAAGGATGGCCAGCGTGAACTTGTTCCTCTTCAATGGAGTATCACACTGGAAAATCTTGCTGTTCGGATTTTTTACGTAACAACCTCTGTATTCCTCTTCAGATACCTGCGCGTAAGTGTGTTTTAACCTCAGATTAGATTAAAATTAGTTTAAACAACTTCTTTTATTTCATCTTATGAATATTATTTTTTCATAAAATTAAAAAATTAACAGTAAGCTAATGTCTTAGCAGGCAGCATGCATACAACAAATGAACAAAGTGAGGGTTAAAGATAAAATTGTCTTAATATGGGACAATTAAATAATAATAATTTTAGCAACAGAAATAAGTTTTATAACTGAACAAGACGATTTAAACGAGCAACATCTTGAAGGTTGTAGAGCAACAATGAGAGAAGGTGGCAGGCACGTACCCATCTGAGAACGTAGACCTCCATCACGCTGGCATCCGTCGTGTTGGAATATATGGGGCAGATGATTTCGATGTAATCTCCCATCATTATTTCCACAGACGGAAGGTTCGTGCTCTTCTTGAACCTGTCACAAAATTTCAAAAATAACTTGTGAGAAACATATTGAGAAAAAACGAGAAACAACCGCAAAATAAAAATAGCATGTTTTTTATAAAAAAAAAGTTAAAACAATTCAAATTTTTATTTAAAACAAAATTTATTTAAGTAATAAACTATTTTCAGTTGAACAACAGTAAATTATATGTATATAAGCACAACGTGTTCAAGTGTAATGTCAGCAGTCATAAATTCAGGTTTCAAACAATTACCATCTCAAGTTTTTCCTTTCAAGCTGGAAATGAAAAATGAACCAAAAATTATATTTTAAAAAACATTCCGGATGAATGAAGAGAAAAATGTTAGAGAAACATTTGAAAATTGTGCATTAAGATGACGAATGTGCATCCTCTGATTATGCACAACTAAGCAAACTCTGAAGAAATCGCAGCGAAAAACGCACACGTGTGTATATATAAGCGTACAGAGTTAAGTTGAGATCACGTACAATTACATTCGCATCACGCACTCCTGTGTTCATCATAATTTCCAAGCAATCGAAGCACAAAATGGCTTTTTTACGCAGAGGCACAGAAACATGCATGGAAGTATAAATCAGATTTTCCTCGTACAGGCAGACATGTTGGTATGTTGCTGCTTCGAATATTCAAATGAGACGAACAACACACATACAACAACCTTACGTATAACGTTGGCATTTTGTGGTAAAAGTGTGTACAACTTTCGTACGAGCAGTTGTACTACACTGAGATATGAGTGCACAGTGTAACTTGCATCCTCAAATCAGCAAGTCACACGTGAAAAGATAAGCATACAATTAATGTTGCTCCCTCTTACTCCATTCCATTTCGTCCGCAATGTTATTTTATTTACTGAACCATGCAATCAATTTACTGAACCAAACTCAATCAATTCTCTTATAATCTCAAAAATTCAACAGAATTCTTTATTTTAATAACTGATAAGCGAGTACATAATATAAAAAACACAAAAACACATGTGAACAATTAATTTTTATTAGTGAATGTATATATTCAGGCATGTTTGTATGTATGTTTGTGTATATGTTTGTATGGCAATTTGTAGGTATGATTGTATGTATTTTTGTGAGCATGTTTGTCTAAAACTAGAGACACATATGATTGGCTCGAGCATGTGGGAATGTATAAACTGTCCACATGCTAGGCAATTCGGCAATTAACATTCCAATTTTTTATTTGCAAAACAACATACAATACAAAATACAATAAGATATGACATACAATACAACATACGATACAACATACAATGCAACATACAATGCAACATACAATGCAACAAACAATAAACTTAGTTAATTTTTATGTTAACAACTTGATGAAAACAATGGTGCTATAGCGATGAGAGGACTTCACTATTGGTGATATTTACATGACGGTCATGATGAAGATGAAGATGAATATGATGACGGTTATGATGAGGACGATGACGTTGACGATGACGTCATCGCAGATATTGTTCCAATGGACATTTCATGTCATCATTATGTGGATAATGGCGACCGTGAAGTCGTAAAAGGTAAATGGATTGTTGTTCTGAAGGTGCATTAACGTTTTTAAAAGTTCTCTCCAAAAAATGTTGCTTACTAGTTCGACAATCAATTTAAGTTGCGCATGTGTTTTGTTTGAATTCATCAGCCGGGAATATGTTAGCGTCACAGATGTTTATTCAATCCTGCGAAACATATTGTGATAAACTGGCAAAGATACGCATCAGCAGAAACATGACTCACGCACACACAACAGGGCAATAACAACTCAAAAACATTTTGCATACAGAGCACAGTGAAAAATTATTTAAATATCTAAAAACATCCGTCTCCCCATAGCTAAACTTTTTCCTATCTGGTGTTTAACTAAACTGTCTGGTGTTAGTGAAGATAATTTTTTGGCGAGGCAAATTTCATGAAGCCAGTAGTAAAAGTAAGAGCCGGTTACATCAGCTATGTAAAGTGAGGCGTGTGGTTGGTTCCTAGGAATGAAAACCCCGCGAAAGTCTGACGGTAATGACGGGCAATTCAATAATGCATTAATTTAATAAGTCCCAACAACTGAAAAATAATCGGCAGAAAGCGTACCATCACATTAATAATAATTCATAGCAAGAACCGGCATGTTTTGAGTTGGGTCGTGTGGTGTGTGGTACACGTTGAGTCGTAGGTGTGTGTTGCGCCTGTTGTATACAGCATGAGATAACAAAGTCACATCTTAATGGAGTGGAGTTTGTTACACGAGTGTGTGTGTGTGTATATATGTGTGTGTAAGTTTATGTGAAACTTGAATACACACAAAGCCGGTGCGTACTTGCTTACTCACAATTTTCTTAATTTGAATAGACGTTCGAGATGAAATTGCGTTCAATAGCAGCGTTGTTCCTTTATCAGCAATTAAATTAAATGCGCATGTAAACAAGTAGAGACCAAAATTAACACAACAAAAACAACATTACAACAAGTGCTAGCGTTAACATAACAACATACACACACACCCACACACACACAAACAGACATACAGACACATACACACACACCCACACGCGCAAATACACACACACACAAGCTTGTTGTTCCTACTGAACTAATTATTTATAATTTGTTTTAATTCTTTTAATATTTCTTTCTTGATTATTTATCGATTTATCCATCCATCTGTTATTGTCGCTTTTCATAGTTTGGAAGTTTGTTTGTGAATTCATTTTTAAACTTATTTAGAACAAATTAAAAAAACAATTTCTTGGCAAATAAAACAAACACACACTCTCTCATTCAATGTATATCTTTTAAACAATTTCAGAAAGCACCGAACAAATAAGTAAGAGGAGGATGAATTGGATGGAATGAACTGTATTGCATGCACTCACTCCCAATTAAGATGTCTAACTCTAATAACATGAAGCTAGAGCAAGAACATTCGCACGCACACTCCTACACTCGAATCCAACTGAAACTCAAACCCAGCACTAGACAGATTGCACTAGGAATAAAATACTTGAGCAAACAATTTCTATGGTTTTAATTTTGAGAACTACTTCTTACAATATTTAATCTGATACTTAGCGAGAAAGATTTGAAAACAATTTTTACATTCTAAATCAAAAAGAAATTTAATACAACTTGGGGAAAGCATTTTAATAGGCAGGTATCATTGTGTGACGTAAATACTATTATGAAAAATGTAACGTTTGTCAAGCATTGCGTATATAAGTTATTGCAATGTATCTGAATACATGTTCAAATCTCGCAATAAAGATTGATGTTGAAAATATAATTGCATAAAAAAATCTGAAATGATTCAAATTTTTTTATTTGCTTTCTCTTTTAACAGGTCATGCTGACGTTTCAACTGTTTGTCATCAGAGTTAACGAGACGGTACAAACATATGTACTCAGCGCCAACTACAAACGTTCAACAACAAAAAATAATGTTTAACAAACATAGTTTAATAAAAGTTAAAAGATTAACGCTGCTGAGATGTGGTTTTGGAGAAGAATTAGCTGGACCTCTCATACTTCGAATGAGGATGTATTAAAACAGTTTTGTTATGAAAAGAGAAAATTACTACAGATAATCTGTTCGACGGAGGCAGTTAGAGTTTTTTGGTCACATCATGCGGAAGGAAAGAATGGAAAATCTAAAAACTACTGGAAAGATTGCAGGGAGATCGCGGTCAACAACGAATCCTATTCATGAAGTCCTTGTGTCACTTGTTGAATATCACCACATTTCAACTCTTACAAAGTGTTAAAGCTCGAATTTTGTGAAAGTCGATGGTCGCCAATATCCTAAAAGGATAAAGCACGAGAAGAAAGCTTAATAATTTCACGTCAGAAATATTATTCTCCCAAACATTTTAGATGTAGTCTTATTTATTTGTTATCAGCAGATTATATTTAAGAAATCAAAACGTCAAAAAATTATCTTCATTGTTTTAAGCTCGTTTGGACATTCTATGAATGGGATAAAACAAAATAAATTAATAAGTCTTATTTTTGATTGGGCTATGATGTTTTTGAAATTTCACGCACACACGTACAACTGGATATATCCATGTGTAGTAAAAATTTATATTACAATTATATTTATACAAGTACTAGATATATTGGACATAGTAATACCTATATTAAACATTTCAAATGGCAAATTACTACAGCGATGACTAACTGAACTGGGAAAACATGTGGATGAATGATAGAATGGATGAAGAACTAAATTATGTTTGAGGTAACATGTCATGTTTTTCATTTGCCCAATTAATATTTGGCAACCTGCAGGATGAACATGCTAACGAATGAGCAAAAAAATAAATTAAAATTTTTAAAAATATTCACATAAGCAAATGATCAAACAAACAATAAAATCAAACAAACAGACGAACGTACGGATATACAGACAGACGAACAACAAACAACAGACCGAAAATTATACAAACTGAACTAATAAACAACAAGTGCGGAACAAACAAACAAGCACCAAATGAAACAATGAACGAACATATAAACGAACAAACAAGCAAACAAGTGAACGTAAAAATGGACGAACAAATGAACGAACAAACGAAGGAACAAATGAAAGAATGACCAGTTGTCATCACCGTGGGTGACCAGCATGACAGCCTATTGAAGATGCATCTAAAAGGCTCTCCACACGGCGATGATGAGAATACGCACAATACCACACACAAACACACACACAAAATACACACTAACAAACTCACACACACACACACCCACTCATTCACACACCTTCATACACACACACCCAACCGTACCCGTTATCTTTATCCCCAGGTTCAAAACATACTCTGCTCTTAAAAAAAAGAATAAAATACAGAAGATGTTTGTTATCATTCACGTCATTATTATGAATTCAATTGTTATCGCGAAATCGTTACTTACGATTAAATCGAGAAAACGTCCCAAAACACAATTACAACAACGTCACAACATTAAGCCATGACATCAAGTTCACAAGTCGTATCATGTTACAGTAAAACACACCTTTTATAAACAACTCAACAAAAAAACTAAAATCAACACAACATCCCATTACAACAACGCAACATCAAAACAACAACATCACAACAACATCAGCAACAACATCACATCAACAACAACTTAGCATCAACACAACAACACATGACAGCATCAACACAACATCAGCAACAACATCCGCACAACCTCTTCTATGACAGCACAGATGTTGCTTCTAATTCCCTATCACCTATCAGACACTTCTCTATCAAATTGATTTATATCTATTTTTAAACGCATGTGCACAGACACAACCGCGCACACATACACAAACACACACACACAGACGGACGGACACACGCACACAGACGGACAAACAGAGATGGACAAACACACACACACACACAAACGAAATTGTAAAATTGATTGTTCGTTTTAATTCACGCCACTTTTTGTATGTTTGCAAGAAAACACATTCATCACTTACGTATTTAATTACTCCACTTATTTATTCATTTATTTGCTGTTCGTATATTCATCCTACTCTTCATTAATCAACCTATTCGTTTTTACGTTCATTCATTCAATCATTCATTCACGCATTCATTCATTCATTCATTTATTTATTCGTTCGTTCGTTCATTCATTCATTCATTCCAATCGTTCCTTCGTTCATTTTCCCATGCATCA